TACAAGTGATGCCAAGAATAACATTTTCTCTAATCTAACATAAGAGAAAATGTGTTACTGGGGGTAACTGTAGAAAATTATTCCTTTCGTATGTATGTAAGTTTATTCAGGTATACACAAATACAGTTACATAGATTATCATACATAACAACATATGTGTAGAGAACCTAGGATAACCCAAAAAAGTCAGAATGACTTATTTCCATTGCCTTCACTCAGAGCATCATTTCTTCTCAAAATGATGTTACATGAGAATGGGAGTGTTCTTCTTTATTTATTCTACCGTATCAATGTAGAGACAACCTGTACACAATGTAACTTGTACACAAACCAGACGTGTACACTTCATTTACAAAACTTACCTTCGCCTGGTTTGTTTACATAACTCCGCGCCTGTCCTCTCTCATGCATTCATTCTTTCTCTCTCTCATTTATTCGTTTTATCTCATTTACTTACTCCTGACCCTACATTAAGACTACAAATATTTTAAGGTAAGTAATGAGTGAACTGTATATACATTTTATCGCTCTGGGATGCTTAAATATCATGGAATATATGTGTGGGTGGGTTGGCCTGGTATGGTAGCCCAGCTGACTACCATACATACCACACTTGATTTTTTACAATAAATACTACTCATCTCACCCTATATTTTAAGGTAAGTAATGAGTGAACTGTATATACATTTTATCGCTCTGGGATGCTTAAATATCATAGAATTGTATGTGGGTGGGGTGGCCTGGTATGGTAGCCTGGCTGACTACCATACATACCACACTTGATTTCTTACAATAAATACTACTTGTCTCACCCTCGATTAAGACTATAAATATTTTAAGGTAAGTAATGAGTGCACTATGTGTGTATTGTACTTTTTATTGTTTTTTGATGCCTGGTTCTATTGCTAACTTAATATATGTTAGTGTAAACTTGTTATGTAGTGTTTGTATGCATTTGTAAGTGGAAAAAATGGTGTTCCACTTTACGGCGGTTTCCGCTTTACGGCGGTAGCCTGGAACCTAACCAGCCGTATAAGTGGGGCCTTCCTGTATATTCGTGTATAAAGATACACAACATATCCCCCCAAACTGCCAATATCCCATACCCCTCCTTTAGAGTGCAGGCATTGTACTTCCCATTTCCAGAACTCAAGTCTGGCTATATAAAAATAAACAGTTTCCCTGAATCCCTTTACTAAATATTACCCTGCTCACACTCCAACAGCTCGTCAGGTCCTAAATACCATTCGTCTCCATTCACTCCTATCGAACACGCTCACACACGCTTGCTGGAAGTCCAAGCCCCTCGCTCACAAAACCTCCTTTACCCGTTCCTTTCAACCTTTTCGAGGACAACCCCTACCCCGCCTTCTTTCCCCTACAGATTTACAGTGGACCCCCGGTAATCGATAGCATCGGTATTCGATAAATCCTGTATTCAATGCATTATACCGCAAAAATTTTCCCTCGGTATCCGATTGAAAACCCGGTATTCGATACGATTCGTACGAGACGTGTCCACATGTGGCCTGAACTGCCCCGTGTGTGCCAGTGTTTACAAGCCAGCCAGTGTGAACGCATCTAAGGATACATTCAGTATACAGTGGACCCCCGCATAACGATCACCTCCAAATGCGACCAATTATGTAAGTGTATTTATGTAAGTGCATTTGTACGTGTATGTTTGGGGGTCTGAAATTGACTAATCTACTTCACAATATTCCTTATGGGAAAAATTCGGTCAGTACTGGCACCTGAACATACTACTGGAATGAAAAAAGTTCGTTAACCGGGGGTCCACTGTATTCCAGATTATCCATATTATCGCTGTTTTTGGTGCTTCTTTCTGCAAAATAAGTCACCATGGGCCCCAAGAAAGCTTCTATTGCCAACCCTTCGAGAAAAAAGGCGCTAATGTTTATTGAAATGAAGAAAGAGCTAATTGCAGAGTACAAAAGTGGAGTGCGTGTGTCAGAGCTGGTCAGGTTGTATAATAAACCCCAATTGACCATCTCTACTATAGTGACCAGGAAAACGGCAATCAAGGAAGCTGTTCTTGCAAAAGGTGCAACTGTGATTACAAAACAGCGACCTCAAGCATTAGAAAATGTTGAGAGACTGTTATTGGTGTGGATAAATGAAAAACAGATAGCAGGAGATAGCATCTCTCAAGCTATCATTTGTGAAAAGGCTAGGCAGTTGCATGACGATTTGGTAAAGAAATTGCCTGCAACTAGTGCTGATGTGAGTGAATTTAAGGCCAGCAAAGGTTGGTTTGAAAGATTTAAGAATCGTAGTGGCATTCATAGTGTGATTAGGCATGGTGAGGCTGCCAGTTATGTTGTGCGACAGAGGTCCAGTCACTCTCAAGCTGGTCCTAGTGGCATTAAAAGAAGAAGGGGATTCCCCTTCTAAACACTAACACCTCTCCCCTCCTCCCATCCCATCAATCATCACCAGATCTTCATTAAAGGTAAGTGTCAATTATTTTATTGTTATTGTAATTATTCTTTTGCATTAAACTTAATATTTCATGTAGTAAATTTTTTTTTTCTTACTTTTGGATGTCTTGCACGGATTAATTTGATTTCCATTATTTCTTATGAGGAAAATTGATTTGGTTTTCGATGAGCTCTCATGAATGGATTAATATCGAATACCGTGGGTCCACTGTATTATTATTTTTATTAGCACATTGGCCAATTCCCACCAAGGCAGGGTGGCTCGAAAAAGAAAAACTTTCACCATCATTCACTCCATCACTGTCTTGCCAGAAGGGTGGTTTACAGTACAGTTTTCAAACTGCAACTATTAACACCCCTCCTTCAGAGTGCAGGCACTGTACTTCCCATCTCCAGGACTCAAGTCCGGCCTGCTGGTTTCCCTGAATCCCTTCATAAATGTTATTTTGTTCACACTCCAACAGCTCGTCAAGTATTAAAAACCATTTGTCTCCATTCACTCCTATCAAACACGCTCACACATGCCCGCTGGAAGTCCAAGCCCCTCGCACACAAAACCTCCTTTACCCCCTCCCTCCAACCTTTCCTAGGCCGACCCCTACCCCGCCTTCCTTCCGCTACAGACTGATACACTCTTGAAGTCATTCTGTTTCGCTCCATTCTCTCTACATGTCTGAACCACCTCAACAACCCTTCCTCAGCCCTCTGGACAACAGTTTTGGCAATCCCGTACCTCCTCCTAACTTCCAGACTACGAATTCTCTGCATTATATTCACACCACATATTGCCTTCAGATATAACATCTCCACTGCCTCGAGCCTTCTCCTCGCTGCAACATTCATCACAGATTTATACGTTCTCCAATTCATTCTACTTTGATCTATTCTCTCTAAATGACCAAACCACTTCAACAACCCCTCATCAACCCTCTGACTAATGCTTTTATTAACTCCACACCTTCTCCTAATTTCCACACTCTGAATTTTCTGCAAAATATTTACATCATACATTGCCCTTAGACAGGACATCTCCACTGCCTCCAACTGCCTCCTCGCTGCAGCATTTACAACCCAAGCTTCACACCCATATAAGAGTGTTGGTACTACTATACTTTCATACATTCCCTTCTTTGCCTCCATAGATAACGTTTTTTTGTCTCCATATATATCTCAACGCACCACTCACCTTTTTTCCCTCGTCAATTCTATGATTAACCTCATCCTTCATAAATCCATCCTCCGACATGTCAACTCCCAAATATCTGAATACATTCACTTCTTTCATACTCCTTCTCCCCAATTTGATATCCAATTTTTCTTTATCTAAATCGTTTGATACCCTCATCACCTTAGTCTTTTCTATGTTCACTTTCAACTTTCTACCTTTACACACTCTCCCAAACTCGTCCACTAACCTTTTCATTTTTTCTTTAGAATTTCCCATAAGCACAGTATCATCAGCAAAAAGTAACTGTGTCAATTCCCATTTTGTATTTGATTCCCCATAATTTAATCTCACCCCTCTCCTGAACACCCTAGCATTTACTTCTTTACAACCCCATCTGTAAATATATTAAACAACCATGGTGACATTACACATCCCTGTCTAAGACCTACTTTTACTGGGAAGTAGTCTCCCTCTCTTCTACACACCCTTACCTGAGCCTCACTATCCTCATAAAAACTCTTTACAGCATTTAGTAACTTACCACCTATTCCATATACTTGCAACATCTGCCACATTGCTCCCCTATCCACTCTATCATATGCCTTTTCTAAATCCATAAATGCAATAAAAACTTCCCTACCTTTAAATACTGTTGACATATATGCTTCAATGTAAACATTTGATCTACATATCCTCTACCCACTCTAAAGCCTCCTTGCTCATCTGCAATCCTACATTCTGTCTTACCTCTAATTCTTTCAATAATAACCCTACCGTACCAGTAATAAATACATTTCTCATAGGTAGTAGGTTGGTAGACAGCAGCCACCCAGGGAGGTACTACCGTCCTACCAAGCGAGTGTGAAAGAGAAACCCGTAATTGTTTTACATGATGGTAGGATTGCTGATATCTTTTTTCTATCTCTTAAACATGAGGGATGCCAGGTATATCTTCCTACTTCTACTTACAATTAGTTCACACTACACATGCATATACACTCGTATATATTTACACACCCATCTGGGTTTTCTTCTATTTTCTTAATAGTTCATGTTCGTCTTTATTTCCTCTTATCTTCATGGGGAAGTGGAAGAGACTTCTTCCTCCATAAGCCATATGTGTCATAGAAGGTGACTAAAATACCAGGGGCAAGGGGCTAAAGACCCCTTATTAGGTTACTCTGTCTTGGTGGGATATGGCCACTTTGTTGAAAAAAAAAATTGTTATATTTATTTACACTTGCTCTTTCATCATTTTGCCATAATATTTTTTCACATATTATTGAATTTCATATTGTATCTGCTTGTAGATTCTTGAAATTATTTATTATATATTTTAAATAATAATAATGTAATAAGACTTGCTTTAGGCCATGTGTCACGTTTGGTGAACCACTTGGGAGACATTGGCATGACAGACAGTCTGGCAGTCTCTGCAGATGGATACCTTCTTGCTGCATCCTACCTTGTTGATTCCGGTTGCTCTTCCATCAATAGTAAGTAAATTTAAGTGTAGTTGTGTTGTAAGAAATCTTTAACAGGGAAAAATTTAAATTTATGTAAAACTCCGTATGAAGTTCATCCAAGATCGAGCCTGCCCCTTTTTTTATCTCATTTGAATGAAAGTAAGCAAAAGTACTGTTTGCATATCCTTTTAGGAGGGGTTGTCTGCCTGACATTGTATATAAATTTAATTGAAACTCCCTTTACTTTAACCTTCCCTCTTTGGGAGCATGGCGTGTGCTGTCTGTTCTATGCTTAGGCTCCATGAACTTTAATAATAATAATAAACTGTCAGTAGACATTTTTCCTTTTGAGAGCATGGAATGGCACATGATGACATACACACTGTTGTTTGACCTCTTATTACAACAGTAATAATCTACTACTATGCAGCTACTATATTACTACTGTACTAATACCATACTACTGCTGCACTACTTCTAATATGACTACTACAACTACATCTGAAACAGGTATGTCATATATCATGCCTTTCCTTGCTTTTCATTAAAAAATATTATAATTTTGGGGGGAAAATAATTTGGGTATAATAAAAGCTAGATTATGTTGGCCTAAAATTTATGAACCAAAGAAAAGGTATAGTTTTAAAGGTGTCAGTTTTTTATTTAACCTTTAACTGTCCAAACGTAGATTTGCGTTCACTCGCCCAGCGCTCTGAATATTTTGAAAAAAAAAAAATCTAAATGAAGAGGACTCTTTTTTTTTTTTACATAAAGTAATATAAAAAAAATTCTAGAGCCAGTACTTGCAGAGATATAAGGCCGCAAAGTCGGTGCTTGTCGCTCACCTGATGGCAACATGAAGCGCTGCCTCTTGCAAAAGCATTGCCGATATACCTTTTATTCTCATTTTTTTTAATTTGTATAATTTTTATGTTCTGATAATTACATTTTGTAGTGGTTCTTGTGATTTCATAGCTAATCTTTGTTCCGACACTAATATTAGGTACTGAAATAGTGCAAGTACCATCTGACTTACGACTGAGCTTGATTCCGACCAACTGGCCGTAAGTCAAAATGGACGTAAGTCGAACCTTTGAAAGTTGCCAATATACTGGGTAGGGCATAATGTCAAACCTTTGCTATATAAACTACCTACATAGTACTGTAATGTAATGTACCATCATCATTTCATTCTTTTTACCATAATTTACTTCTATTGATATATTTTAATCATTTATGTACTGTATAAAATGTATACATGGTAGTGAACTGTATTGTAAATTTTTCATCTCATACAGTATCATATGTTACTGTTATCTTTAACCCCTTCAGGGTCCAAGGCCCAAATCTGAAGTGGTGCCCCAGTGTCCAAGAATTTAAAAAAAAAAAAAATTTTGTTATTTTTTCTTATGAAATGGTAGAGAATCTTTTTGTGAAGGTAATAAAACAAAAAGTACGAAATTTGATGGAAAATAAACAAAAATTATGCTCCCCGCGAAATTTTTTTTTTTGATGTTTTAGAAAATATTTACGAATCGGCGATTTTCCCGGACTAGGGAATCGAGTTTAGGTTTCATTATTCCAGTAAACAAATTCTTAGTTTTTTATTTGTATTACTTCTATTCAAACGTTTGAGAACAAAAAATCCCCAAAGTCAACTTTTAAAAACTAAAAAATAAAGTGATCGGAAATTTTTTAAATTTTGGGCCCAAATTTAAAACAAAAATTTTCCCAAAAAAATTCCAATTTAAAAAATGGGGGTCAGAATAAAAAATTGTATGTCTTCCTGGAACAAACAAATGTTTCCTCTGTTCATTAGTTACATTTTGAGGTTTTTTACAAAAAAAATTTTTCCCTTCGATTTTTTATTCCCCATAATAAATTTTTAAATTCACACCAAAAAATAAAAGATTTTACGGGTTAGGGGAAATTTACTTAAAAATAAGGGGTAAAAATATCATCCCCTATTTGTGAATGTATTTTTTGACCCCCCAGCTGGTGTGTTTTTAGATGTGTGGGGGTTTTTTGTTTCCCCCTTAAATATCAGCAAAAATTTTAAACATTTTCCGCTCCCTTTAAAGCTCAGTTTCAAGCCTTTTCCCAGGGGCAAAAACCAATCAAAATCATCTCTTTTTCTGTTTTTTTTTTTTGGGTTTTTTTTTTCCCTTTTCCTTCAAACTGGGGGACCAAAAAACATGATTTATTTTTTTCTCCCAAATTAAACACCGGGTGGGGGCTCAGGACTGTTTTTGGGTGGTTCCAACACCTACCCCAAAGGGGATGTATTTTCCTCTTAAATCCTTTAGGCCCAAAATTTTTAACCCTTTCCCCTTTAAAGAGTAAAACAACTTCATGGTAGTCTACGGGTTGGCCCCTGAATTAAATCCTTTTTTTCCCCCCCCCTTTTTTTTTGTTTTTTTACAAAAGGGTTTGGAAAAAAACCCATTTTTGCACCTTTTTAAATGGTTCCTTTAACTTTATTAAGTAAAAAAAAGGGAACTGTTATACATTGGGGTTCGTTGAAAAATTTTTTTTTTTTCCTCTTTTTTTTTTTTTTTTTTTTTTTTTAAAAACAAAAATTTTGGAACCGGTTAAGGTTCCCTTAAGTTTTTATTGACAAGTTTTATTGGACATGGTTAAAGGTTTCCAACTTTATTACCAAAAAGCTCAAAAGGTTGTTCCTAAACTCAGCCGGTTTGAAAGATTTTTTTTGGTTATGGTTGCTTAAAAGTATTTTATTGTTAAGGGGGCCCTTCAAAAATTTTTTTGGTTTGCCCATAACAGAAAGGAACAGGTTAAAGGTTGGGAAAAGGTTTTCCCCGGGTTTTTTCCCATCGGAAAACGCTTTTTTCCCTTACTCTGTTTGTTTAAATTTTTTTTTTTTTTTTTTTTTTAATTTTTTATTTTTTTTAAAATTAAAAACCCCCCCCAAATAATTTTTATTTTTTTTTTTTGGTTTTTTTTTTTTTTTTTTTTTTTTTTTTTTTTTTCCCCCCCCCCTTTTAATTTTTTTTTTTTTTTTTTTTTTTTTTTTTTTTTTTTTTTTTTTTTAAAGCAGTCGCAGTGAAAAGGGGGGGCAGGCAAAAACCAAGAAAGTGGAGCATACTCAAGGGGGTGGGGTTTACTTCTCCCTCATAAAAAAACCTTGAAACCCTCTGCTGTCAAGCAGTGCGAAAATTACAGAAAAAGTGCTTAAGCTTCCTGGCGGGCCTTTTTTTGCAAGATTTACAATGGGGTTTTTCATGGTCATTTTGGGAAAGTAAAGATTTAACCCCAAGGAATAAAACTTCTTTCCGGGTGCTAAAAACCCCCCCATTCACCCTTCTGTTTGCCCGCTTTTCCATATGGTCCCTTGAGATCTTTAATCTTTGTGTTTTCTCGGGTGTCCCAAATTTTTACTTGCCATCTATTTCCCAATTTTGATTTTGCTTTAGAGGTGATTGATGTGTTTAGACCCAGCTGGCATTTTTTTCTTGGAAAAGTGAAGTCGTGTACAGTCATCTGCATATGCTGGGGGATTTGGGTAGAGAAAAAAAGGGTCTTTAAAAGTAAAAATTTCCCCATAACAATGGTCCCACCCCAAAGGGGCTTCCTTGTGGAAAACACTTCCCCCAATAGAATGTTTTGTGATTTCTCTTCTCTCTCTCTCTCTCTCTCTCCCCGTCTCTCTCGCTCTCTCTCGCTGTCTCTCTCTCTTCTCGCTGTCCTCTCCCCTTTTCTCGTGTCTTTCCTCTCTCTCTCTCTCTCTTTTCTCTTCTCTCTCTCTTCTCTCTCTTCTCCCCCTCTCTCTCTCTCTCTCGCTCTCCTCGCTCTTCTCCCCTCTCTCTCGTTTCTCTCTCGCTGTCTCTCTCCTTCTCCCCTCTCTCTCTCGCTCTTCTCTTCTCTTGCTCTCTCTCTTTTCTCTTTTCTCTCTCTTCTCTCTTTTCTCTCTCTCTTTTCTCTCTCTCTCTTTTCTCTCTCTCTCTTCTCGCTCTTTTCCGCTCTCTCGCTTCTCTCGCCTCTTCGTCTCTTCGCTCTCTCTCGCTCTCGTCTTTTTCCTCTCTCCGCTCCGCTCTCTCGCTTTTCCTTTTCTTCTCCCCCTCCTCTCTCGCCTCCTCGCTCTCTCTCGCTCCCCTCTCTCTCTCTCTTTTCTCTCTCCTCTCCTCTTCTCTTTTCTCTCTCTTTTCTCTCTTTCTCTCTCTCTCCCCTTTGGTACACATAAGTAAATTTTATCTTTATGTTTAAATTCCCTAGGAAAACCCCAAAAAAAAATCCAGATAGTGCTTCCCCAATAAATTCTGTGCTCTTTTTCCCTAAATTAATAATAATTTTAAATAATTATTATTATAAAATATGTACAAATATTAAAAATAATTTTATTTTTAAAACTATAATATAAAAATCGTGTTCATAAATTATTTTACCTTAAAATATTGTAGTTTTAATGTAGAGTGAGAGGTGAGTAAAAAAGGGATTAAATAAATAAACAAGAGGGGAAAATTTGGAGTGTAGAAGCTTTGCGTGTTTTTAAACAAATAGTTGTTGTTGTTTTTACCCCCTGGACACGAATTTTTTTTTGTTCACTTTTGTCAAGTGACCAGAAAAAATCTCATGTTTTTTAATTTATTTATTTTATATTTTTTTTTTTTTTTATTATCACATGGCCAATTCCCCCCCAAAGGGCGGGGGGCCCCGAAAAAAAAAACTTCACCTTCATTCACTCCATCACCCGTTTGCCAGGGAAGGGGGCTTTACACTACAGTTTTTAAACTGCCAAAAAATTTAAAACCCCCCCTTTAGAGTGAGGCCCCTGTACTTCCCCCCTCCAGGGGCTCGTCCCGGCCCGCCCCGGTTTTTCCCCGAATCCCCTTTAAATGTTATTTGTCAAAACTCCAACAAACACGTCAAGTATTTTAAAAAACCCTTTGTCTCCATTACTCCTATCAAACCGCTCACGAATGCCGCTGGGGGTCCCAAGGGCCCCCCGCACACAAAACCTCCTTTACCCCTTTCCCCCCCAAACCCTTTTCCCAGGCCCAACCCCACCCCCCCTTCCTTCCACTACAGATGGGTA